CTTATTCAGGGGAGGGGGAGAGAGGAGGATTGGCAGGTGAAGTGGGCCTCCGAATGGCACCTGCCTCCCCTCCCTTGGGAACCTCTCCCATTTCTGGTGTCCCTCTCTGCAGGGTTCAGAAAACGTTGCCACACTCCCCCTGGCAAAGTTGCCTTTGATCTTTCTTGCCATTCCTTCAAGGATGTCGAATGTATATTCCCTCCTCCCAAGTCCTCAAAATTAAGCCAGCTACCTTATATGCTGGGGGGGGGGTTGCACATGACTCCTCAATGCCTTCAGCCTGTCTTCTCATTGCTCCGCAAAGCCTTTCTCGGTGACTTGTCTTGCAGACAGGTCTTGTCAGGATATCTGTCTTTCCTCCTGGCCTGCTCAGCTCTGAGGCAGGCCGAGGGCTCCAGAATTCCCCACAGCACTGAATTCATCGGCATGATTCACGACGGATGACTCTGCCACCCGATTTAGCAGCACGGAGAACAAACAGGGATCTGTGGGCGGCAGCAGAGGCTCACTCCCCGTCATGAATGCCATGGATCTTGCAGCCCTCCAAGGGGCAACCTGACCGTGAGGGAGGGTGGGACCCACTAGTTAAGGGTCACAGGCCCTGGCTCAGAAGTAGGTAATTCCAGAGATCCCAGTCAGAACGTGAACTGGGAACGGGGAAGATTCCAAACCTCCATCCCTAACTATTCAGTCTTGCATTTGGAATATTTTAGCTCTTTGTGCCAAATATCTATGAATTCCAAAGCCATCTTGCCAGGGGCTCACCTGCAGTTCTTTTGAAAGCATCTGGATTTATTTCTCCCTTTTCTTTTTTAACAATGGGCCTTGCAAAGGAAAAGTGAGGTCTTTATTGCTACCCAGCCAAGCAAACAGAGGTGTTTTTTTTAAAAAAAATAATAACCCAATGCAATAACTCGTGGGGCTGGAAAATGCAAGATATTTCTCCCCACCCCCACTCCGTTTTGTCTTTCAGGACCATGGACAGTAACCCCAAAACCCTCGTTTCTATGAGCACTGCCTGCTTTTGGTCCCTGGTTTTTTTCTCCTCGTAATCTGGACCATTTCATTTGCCATCTCACACCATGTTGTTGCTGGGGCTTTGATGCCTTCGAGTTAGTGTTGACTCCTGGTGAGACCCTGGATGAGTCCTTGAGGTTTTGCCAGTGGAGGCTCACCGTTGCCTCCTTCCCACTCAATCCCATCCAGGTAGTTTTCTTGGCAACTTTCTAGATGAAGTTTATGATTGGCTTGTTTTCCTGGCATCCCAATCTGAATTTTCAGGCAGGGTGCCATCCCTGAATTAACCCAACATGCTGAGAGCACCAATATATTTCCTGGAGTGGTTTTCAACTTCCTATAAAATAGGTTTATAACTCTCTTAGACCTAAATGGCTTCTTTCTCTCTTTCCCCTCTAATCGTTCTGTAAGTACATTTGGTGCACTGAGTCCTGAGATTTTTCTGCGGTTGCTCTGAAAGAACAAATAACTTGCAGGAAGCAGCTGTGACTGAGGGACTTGGGGTCTCTCCTGGAATGAACAGCCGGAAAATGTAATCAAATGGCTAAATCCCATTTCCTCTCGTTGGAGTTTTAGATTGAAAATGCTGCTTGCTTTTTCTTACCTTAGTTTGAGGAACAGACGTGAGCCGGTCTCCTCAAGGCTGTTCTGAGGGACTGAAAGGTGCCCTTCTATTGTCCTTTGCTTTCCTGCCTTTAAAATGGAAACTGTGATTTTTCTCTACAAGGGAGCAGAACAAAGCCTGAGTGTTTTGGCCACTCAGAGGTAGCGGCCCTGAATACCACTCACAGGTTTTAGCCCCGGCTATTATTCCTGTAATTTGATCTGCTGGAAAAACAGCCAGGCAAAGGGCACCGTCCAGCTTTTATTCCCTGCCTGAAAAGCTTTCGGTTATTGTGAGGCTGATTTTATTTTTTCCTCTTAAATACTCCCAGGACCCAATTTCAGCCAGTAAATGGGATGGCGGAGTTGCTGCTGGGTCTCTGAAGATTTCCCATTATTTCTTGTGCAAACCGTGAGTGAGTTTATTCTAAATTCAATTAGGAAAGTCTAATAAGAGAGACAGCTGGGCGATGAGAAGGGTGACCGATCTCTGGTGTGTGCAGGGAGAGGCTGCACATGCATCTCGAGGTTTTGCTGAAGGTCAACAGAACTATCTCCTTCCAAAGAAGGCAGACATTAATCAAATCCTGTCACTTTTACCATTTATTATAAGATTTGCAGGGCAGACCCAGAACTGAAGGTTTGCCTCAGAGAGGGGAATCGCAACAGAGGCAACCTTCCTGACTTCCACATACACAATTCACTTTCCTTAGCTTTGCATCCTCCAGATGTTTTTCACTCCTGTACTTACTGGGAGTGATAGGAAGCTGCCAGATTAGGCTAGGCAGATTTGTTGGTAGCTCAGTGCTGGAGTTCTCCATAGCCCCACTTGGTTATCTGGTAGGTTGGATCCATAAGTGGAGTCTCTTGTTCAGCGCCACTATGAGAGCACCAGTTGAATGCTGATGGTTGAATTGTCTCTGGGCCTGGGTGTTGATTCACACGGATGCAGAGTCGAGCTTGGGAGCAAGCAACTATGGCAACTTTATGGCGTGGAATTCTGGGAGTTGAAGTCCACGGGACATAAAAAGGCCATAATTGCCCATCTTTGGTCTAGCTTGTGTCCAGCTATTTTTTTAAAAAAGAAAAAAGAAAATTTGGATTTGACTTAACTACAACAAAACTTTTGCCAATGGCCATCAAATCTGTTGACGGCACAGAGTCCTGTTCAAAGAAGGCACATCCTTTTTTCTAAGGTTGGCTCAGGAATTCTGGGAGTCGAAGTCCACAAGTCTTCAAAGTTGCCAAGTTTGGAGACTCTGTTCTAAGGAGAACTGATGGACTCTTCCTTTTAGGGTTTGGCATTTGAAAGCAGTCACCTCCCGTGATGGGCGTACATTTAAAAAAAGAGATATGGAGATGCTGAAACAAAACCAATAGATGAAATAAAACTCATACTTCTTGCTTTTCTGAAATCAGGACCTTTGGATCACCAGGAGTGAATTTAGAAACTAACATCTAAAATCTAAATGCACCAGAATTGGCCCGGATATCTTAGTCTACAGATGGACATTTCCTAATTGAATGGGGCATTAATTTGGAAGCCAATAAAATATTCCACTCCATTTTTGATTTATTGATCATGGAGGCAGATACAGAGTCCATCCTTCTCTGCAATGCTGGACAGTTTCTTTCTCTCCTGGTGGGTGCCAGTTTTAAAAAGTTTCCCCAAGACGAATGATGCACAATTTTCCCAAGTAAAAAGGACTGTTCTGAACTCCTTCTGAAGCTGTCCGGACACTTTCCTAGAGTGTCACAAGGCAAGATATTTTTTATATCCCTGAATTGAAGATCCTGTGTTCGGCTGGCTACCAAATATGGTTCTAATGGCTGCCCGTTAAGATAATGGCAGAAAAAAATGTGTGTTTCAGGCTAATTATATCTCTCATTCATATAACAGGAAGCCCATTTTAACAACATCTCAGAAAGTATGTTTTGCGTCAGAATTCCCAGAAAAGCTTTCTGAGAAAGATTCTTTGCTCAGATGAGTAGGTTTTTGCAAAAGCTCCCTTTAAAAAATATATATCTTCCCTTTCTTCTCCTTGACTCCCTTTTCATCACCTCTCTGTGGGTTTTTTCCCCTGCAATATGGCTTAGCTGAGATCCTGACTTTGCTTGAAAGCAAGTGCCAAACTGGATTATTTTCAGCATGATAGACAAAACCTTCAACGGCACCCAGGTTTTTTTCTGCAGAAAACCGCACAAGGGGAGTCCCTTTGCATACTTTGTGGGCATGGTACCCTAAGCAAGATGAAAGAGCTTTTCTACCTTTTCAATTAAGCATCTTTGCCTGAGGATGAAAAGCAGCACTCAGCCGGAAAAGACAGCATTTTTCCCTTTAGCGCAGGAGCAAAAATAAGTCGCTTTTTCCCCTCTCCAGTTATGCCCAGGAAAGAGAGGGAGGGAGGGAGACTTTACCCATCGCAGCTTCGGAAGGAACGAGAGCGCCAGTCGGGGAGCTTAATTCTGTTTTGACTTTGCAGAATTGGAGGTTAGAATTTTATGAAGAGTTGGGGACCTTTTAGACTTTGCTTTACATTAATTTGGAAGGCGATTGTCTCAGAGCTCTCAAATCATACTGACATTTTAATACACTTAGAAAAGCAATACACAGAACCCCAAGCATTCTATTCTGACTGTTCTAACGATCATCTGTTCACACGAAATGGATGATGACACCGAGAAGTCCGTCCTTTGACCAACATTTTGATCTTCAAGGAAGGAAAGAAGGAGGGGGAGAGGGGCACAGAAGTTGGACTATAGAAACACTCCAGCCGTGGGAACTTAGATTTGCTCATTACCAATGCCCAACAGTTAAAGGTAATAAAAGGCTTGGTGTATCGGAAACATAGACCCTCTTGTACAGCATTCTTGACTCTTGCAGCGGGCATCAAAGCAACTCTGTGAAGGGCATGGCCAGGGCATGGAGATAAAGGTTTCTGCCCCATCATTCCTTGCCATGGATGCTAAATCTGGAGACGTTTGTCTCTCTCATTCTGCCTGGCCTGCTTTGAAAGGCAACCAAGATCCTGCCCTCCCAAACAGCAGGAGCTTCTCCAGTACAGCTGGAGATGGCTCCGCTCCACATTCCTACCTTGTTCTGGAGGAGCCCACAGTCCAGTAAAAGGTGCTCTCCCCTCCCCCACCATGCTGGTGGACTTTGGGGAGTCACCTGACCTGCTGTGGGCTCTTCCCCATTTTGGCCAAACCCAGGGGATAGTTTGTGCCAATTGTCCCTTAAATTTTTTTTGGGGGGGTGTTCCTGTTCAAGAAGTCCATAAATTTGAAGACTGCAGGTTCCTCAAAGGCACCCACTTGTGCTGGGCGAGATGAAGTCAGTTTCTGGTGTAGCCAAATAAAAAGGCAGGGCCTTGGAGCCTTCAAAGCAGGCTAACCTGCATCTCCTTCTCTTTCTGGCTCAGGATCTGTTGCTCAGCCTCTGCTCTGGGGACCCCAACCGGCCCCTTCGCTTTGTGGCTGGCCTGCTGGCCAATGGGACCGGCTTTCCCGGTGCTGTCATTGCCCGAGGCTGTGTAAAAGCTACGCTGCCGCGGAAGTCCCTCCTCCCTGTATTTGCAAAGCCTCATGAAGGCCAGACGGAACTTCTGGGACATGAGGTTGTAGATGATGGGGTTGATGGCGCTGTTGGTGTAGATGCAGATCCTGCAGAAGAGGACAAACCAGCGGTCCAGGTAGGGGTGCTCCACAAAGGAGTTCACCAGAACCAGGGTCCTGTAGGGCATCCAGAGCAGGGCAAAGAGGGCCACCACCACAGCCAGCATCTTGGTGACCTGGAGGAGAAGAAAAGAGCTCAGAGGGGCTTCAGTGGAGATGAGGCACAGCCTTCTAAGACCAGTCATGAGGGAAGGTTGGCATGTCAAGCTTTGAAGTTTAAGACCAATGCAATGGAGCCTTTGGTCACAGCATTGGGTAGCATATGTCCAGCGACAGCTATTCCCAGAGTGCCAAGGAGACCCGAGTAGAAATTGGCTAATACTTCAGCTTACTCATTTGTACTCAAGAGGAATGACGGGTGCTTTGTGTTTGCAAGGACATCTACAAATGGTGAGGGTGAAAGGACCCCCTGCATGGAGGTGGCCTTCTCAAGTGCTACCTCTTATTACAGGTGCAACGGTGGTTCTCAACCTTGGCAGCTTTAAGATGTGTGGACTTCAATTCCCAGAATTCTCCAGCCAGCCAGGCTGATAGGGGAATTCTGGGAGTTGAAGTCCACGTGTCTTAAAATAGTCACGGTTGAGAAACTCTGACTTACAGGATGAACCTCACAAACCTTCCTGACTGGTTGCAGTGGCTTTTCCCGCTCTGCCCCAAATGGACCCTGGAAACTCAACCGTGTCTGCCCACCTGTTTCCTGGAAGAGACAGGCACTCTGGTTCTTGAACTTCCAGCTCTGCTCAGGCCAGCCTCGGTGCCGTTTTTCTCCTGGTTGCTTCGCTCTCTCCAGCATTCCCCTTGGGCAGTGCCATGGTGCAGGGCACGGCTCCGGAGGAGGACTTTTCCAATGAGGCCATAGAGCACAGTGGTGACCAGAAGCGGGGTGATGAAGAAGAGGGCAAAGTCGAGCAGGTAGATGGGCAGGTAAAGGTTGCGGGAAACCTTGTAGCCACACTCCAGCTGCTGGCTGTTGTTAGCAGCCACGTCCACCAGGAAGAACCAGAGCATGCAATACACCGAGGTGAGGATCCAGACAAATGCAATGATGCGCTTGGCTCGAGACACGGTGCACATTGTCTGCGCCTTCATTGGGTGGCAGATGGCAATATATCTGGGAAAGAGAGGAAGGAAGAAGAGAGAGGGGTGTAAGAAAGGAGGCAACCTGAAAGGCAACATGGGAGGAAGAGTCACCAAGAACTTTCGTGCTGGTTTCCTTTGTCTGGGTCACTTCCTGCCTTGTGCAGAAGGAGCCACCGAGTGGCATCTCGTGAAGGATGCTATCTCTTGCGTAGCCCTTTGCACAAACACATTCAGGGAGCATCATTTATAGCTCAGAAGAGAGTTTCTACCTGGCCTTCAGAAGGTCCCTTGTTCAATTTTCAGGTAGAAGGAGCAGGTACAGGTGATGGAAAAGCTCCCAGAGACCCAAGTAAACCGTTGCCAAGCAGAACAGAGGCTTTCTTCAAACTAGGGAGTCTGGGAGTTGTAGTCAACCTAAGCTGAAGAAGATGGATCTAAAGAGAATGAAGATCTTACGATCCTTTGAAGGCCGTAACAGAAGGTATTTAGTGACTATTGATCTAGAAGAATCAACAGATCAATGTAACTGTTGCATAAGTTCATTCTATCCCACGGGTTAACTTGTGTCTGAAGGACAATGAATGTCCCCACCCACCCACCCACCCTTGTACACACTCCAGACAACCAGCCTGACACCCCCTGGTTGGTTAGTTCTACAACTCCCAGACTCCCAGACGCCTTGAGCCTTGAGCTGGCTAAGATTCTGAGGACCACCTCATCTGAAGGATGCCAAATAGAGGACAAGGTGATTCACTGAAGTCTACCTTTACCTTTCCACAGTGAAAGCTGTGATAAACCAGGAGGATGCATTGATGCCCAGGTACTGGAAGTAGGTTATGCCAAGGCACCCAGCAAATCCATAGATCCATGTTCCCGCCAGACTCTCAGAGATGTTGGGCAGGCCGGCAGCCACCAGAACGATCAGATCAGCCACAGCCAAACTAACCAAGTAGCAGTTGGTCGGAGTCCTCATGTCGCGGGTGGTCAGAACCACAGCGACCACCATGGTATTGCCAATAATGCCAACTCCACATATGGTGAGCACCAGGAAGACGGAGATGGTCTTGTATTCAAAGATGCTGAATGGGAGACCTCCAACCCCCAAGGAAATGTTGGTGGGGGTGTCTGCTTTGCTGTTGCTGCGGTTCTCCATGGCCAAAGTTGGAGCAAGACTCTGCCTGGGGTGGTAAAAAAAAAAGGAGCGGGTTTTTTTCATGAAACAAGGGCTCTCCTCTCCCATCGAGACCATCAGAGGTCTCCACTGGCCAAACAGGGAAGTCTGGGGGGGGGGGGCTGTTGAGCAGATGTTAGAGGAGCCCACAAGTACAATGTCCCTTGCATGCCCTCATCTCCACCTGTCCTCAGTCACAAAGGGCTTCGGAATGCTCTCAAATGTTAGCAACAAATTCAAACAACAATGTGTTCAAAAATCACCTAAAACAGAGGTGACAGACATGTAGTTCTCCCAATGGTGCTAATCGTTCATTCCCAACATCCTTCCTTTTTGGCTCTAGGAACACCTGGGAGCCACAGGTCCTGGCCCCTTCTGGCCCCTTTGTCCTTCTAGAATCTAGATCTTCCAGGTTCCCATGAAAGTATTTCTGTAGGGAAGGAAAGTGCCCACATCCACATTCCTCAGCCCTTCCTTTCTTTCCTTTTTCTTTCTTTTTTTTTTTGCAGGGGATTCAAGCATTTCAAGTAATTGGCTAATGATTGGATTAATCCATTTAAATTGAGATAATTGACCAATTTGGAAGCATTCAATCATTGACAGCTCTTATTAGACACCCACGTCCTTGCTCTGTGTGTGAGTGTCAAAGAGCGGGTATGTAAGAGAAATTTGAAGGCGGGAGGGCTCCTGTCTTTTGATCTTAACCCTCATTTTATTGCTACCTTCCAGCACCCCCAAAATCAATGTGCAAAACCCTACAAGTTTCAGGCAGCTGGAAACCCAAGGGTGGCCTTCCACTGACAGACTGGTCATTTCAAGAAAAGCAGGGAGAACAGATTTCACCCCTGTCCGTCTCCCTCCCGTCCCGTCCCCCCCGACAGTAGTAGCTGTATCTTTGCGGTTGTATTGGAATATTTTATGAACCAAAACTGAACTGAACTGAATCAAATTAAATTGAATTGAACACTTTATTTGGCCAAGTGTGACTAGATACACAAGGAATTTGTCTCCAGTACAGAAGTACTCAATGTCCATGCAAAACAACAGAGGCAGTAATAATAACAACTGGAGCACCACTGGAATGCCATCAACATTGACAAATTCACCATAGGTCGATTGCAAAAGGCAGCTTTTCCTGGAACAGCGTCCATCCTGCGACGAGATCTGTAACACCATCAAACAGCCACATCTGCCTGTCCCAGGTCTACGGGAAGGACTCGATAGGCGGACAAAAATGCCAAACCCAGACTGAACCTCTGGCTGACTGTGTGACGAAGCATCATCATTGCCATCACCATCCCAATAAAAGAGGGAAGTCAAGAAGATAAGGAGAAATAACAATACTACAGCCACCCTAAGTGGATTAATAAGCATAGACCTTAGACAGCACTGTGAGAATTGGCACTGAGGTCGGGGTAGGGAACTGTCCCTGTGTCTAATCGGGGCAAGGTTTTGGAAGTCATCACCACTGACAGAATCAAGGAAGAGTGAACGTGCATCTAGTTTCACGTTTGATGGCTTTCCTGTCATAAATCCAGCCCACGCAGCAGCGACTGCCAAACATTTTAGCCCCATGAAGCCTATTTGACAAACCTGCCCCAAAGCTCTGCTCTCCCTAAAGCTCCTTTTCTCTCCCCCCTCCCCACTTTTTTTTCTTCCTGAAGGGAGGGGGCAGAGCAGACCAACCTAGCTTTCCCAAGCCTCTCAAGTCGGGACTACGCTTCCCATCCCTTACACTCCGTACAACAGAGGTTTCTTCCCAGTTGGGGATGATGGCCACGGTGCTCTGCAATGTTTAGCAGGCAACTGATGGAGAAAGTACGGATAACGAAGAGAGCCTGCAAAATGGCTGGGCTGGGCTGACAATTTAAAATGAAAAAGTGAAACTTTATTCAGCCAGCAGCCTCCCTAAGGAGGCAGCAGGTCGTCCAGTGTCTGAAAAGGGGAGCTTTGCAAGGAGAAACGGATGCCACAAGGGTTCCAAGCGGCCAAGGCTCACCATCTTGTCCAAGCTATTCTGCCCAACAGATGGCTGGGTTGGATGCCCTGCTTTGGGATCTGGTTGATCCCCTGAAATCTCTTTGCCTCCCCTCCTCAACAAGGACCAAGAATTTCGCCCTCCCCTCCCGCCCCAGCTTTTTTGACCCTGATCTGACTCCAGAATCTGCTGGGTCTTGAGAAGAGTGGGTCATGGACTTTGTAGTCTTCTGAGGCAGGCGGATAGATGATACTCACCCTCTCCACAAAGAGATGCCTTCATATCCTCCTTTTGCAACCATTCACACGCACATACACACAAATACAAAACACGCATGTACACACACGCACATGCACACACACACACACACACACACCTACCTTCTGCCACCAGCAAACTTTTCCTGCAGAGCTGGCCTTTCTCACGCATCCCCTTCTGAGCCTCCTCCACAACCATTCAGGGAAGACAAGGATGACCTCCCCCTCCCCTCCACCAGCCTCAAGCCCACTTTGGGGGAGAAGCAGCAGCGCCCAGAAAGCTGCCTCTTAACGGCAGCTGCCTCCTGCTCCTCTGTGCTGCTGGGGGGGGGGCTGGTTCTGCTCAGGGATGCCGGAGGCTGCCCATCAGCTGATCCAGCCCCCTCCACAGACTAACCTGTAAGCGGAGAGACCCTCTCGCTGCCTGCGAAAACCAACACCCGCACACACACACAAACTTGCGGAGAAGTGCAGTCAGACAGCGGGCAGCAAATCAAAGCTATGCCAGCGTTTTGCTGCTGGGTTTGCGTGCCTACATTGCCTGACTAGACAGAGGATGTTTTAGGGGGGTGTCGCTGAGTGAGGCATATGGAGAAATGCCTGGATTTTGATCCCTCCTTAAATGCAGAATTTTGCCCCCACTGGTGAATTTTGCAAACTGAGAAAGAGGGGTCCCCTATTTCCTTCCATGGTGAAATGTGTGGGATTCAGCATCATCCTTAGGGAGTTCCCCCACCCCCCACCTTCCTCCCCAGGACATACAAATTTGCAAACTGGAACCAAATGCAGAGAATGCCAGCAGGGTGCACTCATTTGATTAAGCCATGATGTGGTTTGCCATCTGCTTGGCTTGGCGTAGTAACACTGATTCCTGGGGGCTTATTTGGCTTAAGTTTAGCATGTCTGAATGCAGCCATCCTGGCCTTTTAATGATGACATATGGCTTGCAAATTGTTTTAGAATCCCAGATAATTGTGGTTTAGTCAACAGATATTGGTTGTCTCCTGTATGAACCCAAGCATTAAAGCAGCAAGGATGCCTGGCGTAAACTTTCATCGCTTGCTAGATTATCAGCCTGGGAATTTGTTTTGAGCCTCAGAAATGAAGTGAACACTTAGTCTTTTTATGTCAATTCACTTTTTGTTACACACACAATATAAATAAAGTGGAGGAACAAAAATTATTGTGCTGTGGCTCTTCCAAAGCAACTGAGTGTTAACAATCTGGGTTGATGGACCAAACCGAGTTAGCCCACAGGTCTCTCTCAGTTCAGGTGGTGCAATTCCTCCGTGACACTAAGAAATTAATATCTACAGTACTATCTCAAATCCATATTTAAAACTTACTTTAAAATGTGGGAGCAACTTTTGCCTCCTGATCACCTTGTTCCTTTTTTTTATCATTTCCCTTCTGAAGCAAGAGGATAAATTTATTCAGTTCAAGAAATGGGAAGATAGAAGATTTTCTAGAACTGGAGATTTAATTATAGATGGAAAACGTATTACTTCTGAGTATACTTTCAGAAGGACGATCACATACACTAACTTAGTTTTAAATGAATGGAGCTCAATCATTTGAATGGAACTGATGCAGTATGATTATTGGCAATATTTGTATATATCATTTAATATGAAAAGTAATACTGTTAACATTATATAAAATTCCTATATTAAACACAACAAGTTATCTTGAAATATTTAAACTTTCACTTGATAAAGCTCATTGAAATTCTTTAAGACCTAATGCTTAAGACCTTTAAAACTCTTTTCAGGCCCTGAAAATAATTTTAGGTCATGTTCCATTCCACTCAGAGTCCACCTCTAGACTGTGTTGAAGGGACAGTTAGAACATAGCTCCTAATGATACCAATGTATGCCAGTCGGTCGGTCCTTTGGTTAAAAGTGTTGAAGTCCTTGGGAAATTCAACAGAGAGGTACTTGGTGCCCTGCAAGCTCAGTTGTTTTCAAACGGAGAGCACCAGGGGCCCCTCAGTCCAACCCTGAGCTACAAATATTCTCCTTTATTGATAAATTCAACAGTCTTTCATTCTGTGCATTCAGAATACATCTTTATATGTAATGCTGGGTAGGGCTTGTTGCTCTTAACAGTGAGCCAAGTATTCCAGAATTTCTAATCTTCCTCCTCAAAGGAGTACTTTCGGATCATGCTTTTGAAGCCACAGTTGAAGGAGTTCCTCGGTTTTTACTTTTTTCCTTGTTTAAATGAGGCGGGAGGCAGGGGGCAGCCATCTTCCAGTGACCATAGCGGGCAGGGAATGGCAACTATGGTGCTGTCCATGAAGGAAGGTGCTGAAAGAGGCCAGTAACCACTGATGTTGGAAACGTTTGCAATCTTCTTCTTAGTGCTGGGCATGATGCCCACACCTGAATCTTGCTACCTACAGGATCCTGGAACTCTGTCTTAGGAAGCTAATTTTTTTGTCCCCACTTCTTTCATCTTAGTAAATGGTTCCATCTGGGTGGGATATATGTATGTATTTATGTGTTCGTTTTGTTAAATCTATAGGCTGCCCGTTTTGCTATCACAAGTGACTTTTGGCCCAATGAAGATGGAAAATGATTAGTTCTGAGCAAGTTAGAGAGAAGGTTTTAAGGGGAATCATATTAAATTATCTCTCTCTCCCTCTCTCACTTAATAAGAGGGATGGATGGATGGATGGATGGATGGATGGATGGATGGATGGATATGAAAGGGATGACCTGCCTAATTTGAAAATGATTCATCTTTGTGCTTTCCTTGTTCCAAATATCGACAGGTTTTGGCTCAAGGAAATGAGTGTTCCACTATCACTCTCAAACAAACCAACTAAGACCATCTGGAGCTGGCAAAGGGCTCTCCCTCCCCGTCTCATGTTCACCAGACTTAACCTATTCCATATCTCTTAACTGAACATTCCAAATAAGGTGGGTGGCAAATAGCTTTAACAAATAAATCTACTGGGTGGGGAGATGGAATATCTAAATTAAGAAGCATTTTCGGGTCTTGCAACTGGTATCTTTCCTGCTGTCAGCTGGAAGGCTGAAATTCAAAGAACCCAGTGAAAATCGCAGTAAGGTATTGTCTTCCAAAACTGACATGCTATCAGCATTCTTTTCAGGCTCTTCAAAAGTATCTCCCTGTCACCCAATGCAGAATTTCACTCTCTCTCTCTATACATTTCATGAAAGAAACCCTAAGCATACGTTCAGCTCATGTTCTTCGCTTCAGGCCAATGAAACAAAAGCCACAGGAACTCCAACTCAAACCCAGCAACATTGGAACTCTTCCTTTAATGTATTATGAATTTTTCCCTGTAAAATAATTGATTTCAGCTTCTGTTCATTTCATGAGGAGGCCTGCAGCGGGCCATCTTTGATTTGTGGCTTCAGTTTGAAGATACCAGTGCTCCCATATTGTACAGTACATTCTTTTTCGATGAGGGGGGTGGGAACTGGAACTTGCCTTAGAAGATTTGCAAGAATTAGAAAATCTACTTTTTCAAAAGGGCAAAAAAACAAGTCAGTGTTACTAAAACATTTTATACTTGGGGGAAAGGTCAGGGTTATAGGAAACTCATTCTGAAATTAATTTCATTGGGTTTATGGTGTTTTACTTCCAGGAATCTCTCTGTAAGGCCACAATCTTAATATAGATATATATTAATATAGATTCTCATATTTATAGATACTTAGATATTCACCATCAATCAAGTGGCACATTGTAGTTTGATGGTCATTAGATTCACGTTTGGGTAACCAACACAAGCCACAGGTTGACCCCAAAACATGTTTCTCTTCAACTAAGCATTGTCTTTCTATATTTTGTCTAAAGAAAGGGTGCTTTGTAGGATTTTCAGAAAACAGGCTTTGTAACTTATTACAAACACCATTAACGGGCAGATTTAAGGCTTGGGATCTTGCTCTCATGCCTCCAGGTGTTTCTTTGATCCCCCAAGATGTTTAAAGAATGCCAAATGCCAGCAAGTGGTTGCCTGGCCTAGTGGTTAAGGCACCAGGTTAGACACCAAGAAGCGGTGAGTTCTAGTCTTGCCTTAGCCATGAAAGCTGTCTGGGTGACTTTGGGCCAGTCCCTCTCCCTCAACCCAACCTATCTCACAAGGTTCTTGTGGGGAAGACAGGGGGAGGAGGAAGAAGGATTAAGTATGTTCACTGCCTTGAGTTATTTATAAAAAGAACTGAATTGAAATTAACAGGCTAGGAAGGAATAGCGAGTGGGCTATGCCTTCCCTGAGGCCCACCGCCACCATTTTTATGGCTGATGCTTCTTCCAGAGGAATCTCTGTAGCAAACTGGTCTCCTCAATATCCCCACAGAAGAAATGTTCTTTCTTTTATGGGGCTTTCAAAAGCAAACATTTCCACCACCGGATTGCCCAGAATAGAGAAGGGATTTTGTGCATTAACTCTGCAACTGGCCGGCACTGCTGGGTCCGAGCTCTCTCTTCTGTTGAATTGCATAACCACCAAATAGTGCCGGATTGCCGAGTTTCTTTATATGCAGAGAAGCTTAGGAAGGAACATCAGAAATGCTGGAATAAAACTCCATTATCGTTTTAAATATCTTTTAAAGGCAAATGTTGATGGCGGGACTTGCTGGTCCTGGGTTGATTCTTCTGCTTTCTTTTGGCCAGGGGCGGGAATCTGTGTTTTGACACATCCGGAAAGGGCTCCGCTTGGCCCATGGGGGGAAAGTGGGGAGGATGCCGAGAGCCAGGCGGAAACCCTGCAGGGAGCAGGGAGCAAAGACCCTCTGGGCCCCGAGCAAAGACACTGGTGGTGGGGTTACCCCGATTCCTCGCCCCCACCGGGTTCCAGCTGTGGCCACTAAAGGAATCGGGTCATGACTTGCGAATCTGGGATCCCAGCTCTGGCCCTGGAGCGGATCCTAAGGGTAGAGGATTCTGGATTCAGGAACACAGCAAGGTTGACTCCAACCTCCCATCCATCCTTCCCAGCTGGGTAAAATGAGGAGGACCTGGATTGTTGGGGGACAAGAGGCCGACTCTGTAAAGTGTTTAGAGAGGGCTGTAAAAGCACTATGAAGCGGTATAGAAGTCTAAGGCAGGGGTCCTCAAACTTGACAGCTTTAAGATTTGTGGATTTCAACTCCCAGAATTCCTCCTCCAGTCATGTTAGCTCAGGAATCCTGGGAACTGAAGCCCACAACTCTTAAACTTGCCAAGTTTGAAGACCCTTGTTCTAAGGGCTGATGCTATTACTAATTCCGTCCTTTTCAGGAACAAGCGGGTTGTGGAGCATGGGCATCGTTGTCCCACGGCCGGTCGGAGCCGCTGCAGCGAAGCCAAAGCTCCTGTCCCTTCCTGACGGCCGAGAGCAGGGCTGCTTCAGGGCGAGGTCAGGGCCGGCTTAACGGCATCATGGGCCCCGGGCAAAGCAGCATACTGGAGCCCCTACGACAGCTACTCGTAAGAATGTAAATGGTCGATAAAAGGAAACGTACAATTTATTTTATCAGCACTTCCAACAAAATCAGTATTTGAAACATTAAAACCATGCTGGGCAGCCACAACTAATCAAGGTGATCAACGCTTGAACAATAGGCGAGGCTTGAAAAACACGGTAAGGCTCAGTAAGCTTTATTACTTTATTTGATTCTTTTTGTTAGTTTTTATTGTTTTTTATTTTTATTTTTTGTTTTAAATATGGTTTTACATTGTGTAAGGCGGCTTGAGTCGCCATGGGCAAATAGGCGGCAATATTAATGAATTAAATAATTAAATAATTAATTAAATTAACAAACCTGAAGTTGGTGGACTTCAACTCCCAGAATTCCTCAGCCAGCTTTGCTGGCTGGAGAATTCTGGGAGTTGAGTCCACCAGGCTTCAAGTTGCAAAAATCTGTCGCACCAGTAAGCCCATCGTCCCACACCCAGCGGACTACAAAGCCCATCCCTCCCAGCCGACAAGGAGCCTCGCCCGCCAGTCTCTCCGGCGGTCTGGAAGCGAGACCGGAGTGCGCAGGCGGCCGGTCGCTCTCCCTCCTTCCGTCTCTCCCGATTGGCTAAGCGGGGTTTCTAAGGGGCGGGGCTATGCCCGACTGTCACTTTTCCTTGGAACCACTCGGCCCCGCCCGCTCCTCGTTGGCCTCGCGCTGCCCGGGCGGCGCAGGCGCGCTGAGTAGGGGGGAAGGCCGTCGCCGCCGCCGCTGGCGGCGTCGCGCGTGCATGACGTCACGCCATGGCCGCCCAGCTCTGCCGCCAGTAGAGGCCTTGTCTCGCGCCCCGCCGCTTTCCCGGAGCCGCTTCCCCGCTCCCTCCCCCGACCCCCTCCCGCTCGGCAAGGTGAGGAGCGGCGGGCCCCGCTTACGGGCCGCGGGGGCCGGGGATGCCGGGGCCGACAGCGAGCCTTCAGGGGAAGGCGCCGGGGGCGTCAGTGGATGTCGCTCCGCTGCTCCTCCGGGGAGGCCCGGCCTGACGCCCGAGCCCCGGGCGAACGAGCGGGCTGCGGCCTCCGCCACGCCACGCCGCCCTCAGAGCGATCTTCTGGGGAGTGGAGGCGATGACCTCGAGGGCACCCGCGGACGGCATTACGACCGCCTCCACAGGCGCCGGACTACAACTCCCATCCTGTGCAGCCCGCCAGGCCGGATGGGCTCGGGGCTCGCTGCGATCCCCCCGAAGGCGAGGGTCGGGGAGGGCTGGATGCAGCCCAGGGGCAACCTTTGCCCGGGCTGGGGCCGCAGTCTCGGCCTGCGCGCTCCCATCACCCTTGGCCGAAGGGGCGGACCTCCTCCCTCGACTGGGTTGGGGGATCCGTGTTTTGACAGGCCTGGGAAGGGGGTGGGCGATGCTGGGACTGGTCTCTTCCAAGGACTGTGGGATTCTAGCCCATCATCCCCTGCTTGTGATGGGGGTGCATTCTTAACTTGGCTGCAGGAGGGGAATGCCTGACTCCCTCTTGATGCTTTTAAGTTTGGATGGGCTACTTTATAGACAGGTTGTGTCACTTGTGGTCAGAAAGGGACAATTTCTGTTAAATATTTAAAACCTTGTCAGGAAACAATTGCCAATTAATGTTTTTGACTTACTTCGGCCTTCCCATGCTACAAAACAGCTCTCAGAGAGTCTCATCCACACTCTTTTCCTTTTGTGGGCCAGCATTTAAATATGGGATGGTGAAGTGCATTGCAAGCGAAAAATGTTGACATGACAGCTTAACAATCTCTAGTTAAGAAGCAGCTATGAATCCATTTTTGTCTTTTTTTTTTTTAATCTGAGCTTTTTCTCTTTTATAGACTAGTGGGTCCTGATGGATGTTTCTGAAACACTTGAGCAAAACCCCCGCTCTCCCAGTGAGAAAGACGAAGAGGAGGATGACCACCAGCCCTCTGATGACGAAATCCTGAAAGGGAGTAGTTCAGAGCAGGATGGGGAGGAAGGACAGGGTGCCTGTTTGGGGAAAGGTGCAGATGGGGTAACTAGAACATTGAGCCATGGGGAGGAGGAGGAGGGCCTTCCCTCAGAGGAAGAGGAGCGTTTAAGTGAAACCAAGTCTCCGGACTCTGATCGTAACGATCAAAGCCAACCGCTCAAGTCCTCCCTGCGTGTTGAGCAAGCAGAAGACGGGGCAAATGACCTGGGGGATGAAGCCTCCTCGGTCATTCGAGAACTGGATGAGCATGAACTGGACTATGATGAAGAGGTTCCCGAGGAGCCCAGCGCCGTTCCTGCAGACGATGAGGCTGACAAGGCTGTGGGGGAGGAGGAGGAGGAAGAGGAAGAAGAAAAGGGAGACGAGCCTCTGGGAAATGAAAAACAGCCTACCCCCAAAAGCAACAATGAGAAGGATGAGCAGGAGCCTCCCAAGGAGAAGAAGAAGGAAGAAGATGGAGAAATTGATGATGGCGAGATTGATGTAAGTTCAGCTCCCTTCTGCAGTCTCAGGATTCCCCCCCTTCCTCCCCCCCCCCCCCCCCCAAGAGTGTCTCTTGGAGAAAGCAGGTCCCCACAGCCCTTTGTAATACAGAAAGGTCAGTAAAGGGCTGTTTTCTCAAGTGGGAACTCGATGTGCATTAAATCAGCTTATTCCAAAAGCGCAGCATTGCCGGGTAATCTAGCCATTTCATTATTTAAGTCATACGTGTTTGAACATAATAGTGATGGACTTGCATCACTTCTGTGCAGAAACTTGCTGATCAGTTTGGGTTATGAAAATCTGTTGTGTGAGGTTGTGTTATTGACCTCATTTCTCGGGAAAGCCCTTTAGTTGTTATAAACCTCAAATGCTTCGGAACAAGCAGAGCCAAAGGTTGGGGGTGGTTAATTCTCTCAAACTGGGTGCCCTCCGGTGCATAGGTTTCAACTGCCAAACTTTCCAAAGTATGACCATTGCCAAGAATTGGGAAGCTGCTCTAGTTCTTTGGCATTTAGCAACATTTGCATTCAGAATCCTGGGAGCAGTTGCTGAATCTTAGCCTCATTTTATATCACTGTATTGGCCAAGCTCAGCCTTTGAGGGCAGTGGAACGATCTTTAATTTCATAGACATCCAGCTTGGCAAGTGTCCTTGGTCTGGATTGGAAAGGGGTGGCCTAAGAGCCCTGTAGACACCCAGATAACATCTGAGGCTGCAAAGCAGCAATTGTGTTCCGCCCAGGAGAAGAGAGGAAGACCTGTTGGGATGAATCCTTGAAGTAGGACACGACAAGGAAGCCGAGTGCAGATGGGCTGAAACAAGGCAGAAGCTCCGAACCACAGCTTTTCCTGCCAGATGATAGTCAATATCTATGTTAGATATCAGCTTGTTTAGAAGTCAAAAAGTTTCTTCTTACAGTGTAATTCCCTCTGAAAGTGCTCAAGGAAAGCATGACTTTCATTGACATTGTTGGTTGTTGCAGGGGCTGGGTGTGAGAGCAAACAGAGGGAAGATTCTGAGCTAAATTCTTGGATTCTGGAGAAATGGCATCAGCATTTTATTATCTGAGGACTCCAATATTAATTTAGAAAGTTGTTGCAAAGAACATTTCATTTTCTTAGTGCTAGATTTCAATTCCATGGTTACTTATCCTGCCCCATGTTGCAAGAGCTGCTTCACCTTTTTGAAGATGAATTCAGAATGCTGAGTCTTTCCAAGGGTAGATGACGCTGATGTTATTGCAATTAAGCCTGCATGGTGAGAGCAAGAAATCCTCAGTGGTTGGGCTGAGGAGAGTTCTGGCAGGAGTCAGAAAAGAAGACCAACTTGGCCTTGAAACCAAAATACCAACTTACTGCTTGACAACTTTCAAAGGCCTGATCCTAGAAGGTTAGAAGAATGCTAGCAAGGAGCAACAGAAGAAGTTGGGAAGATCTAATGTGAGTGTCCTGTTACAACCATTCACATGGGCTGATCTCTGGTTTCTCATCTTGGCTTGCTCCGGTTCTCATGGTTGAAGGTTTGTTGTCATTGCAACTTCTGCCTCCTGAGTTCCTGTCTCTCTGTGTCTTTCAGGATGATGACCTGGAGGAGGGAGAGGTGAAAGATCCCAATGACAGAAAAATGAGGCCACGTCTTACCTGCCGTTTTTTTGTGAAAGGTACACATTAAAGCCAATTGTGTCCCTTCCTCCTGAGCAACAGCAAGGAACCTCCGTTTCTTGGACAGCCAGCCTTCAGAGTCTTGTGGCTTCTCCTCTGTTCCTTAGATGGTTTCTAGCTGTCAGAGGTCACCTTACACCAAAACGCTTACACCAAAATCTCTCAGTGTTCAGTTGCTTTAAAGAAGCCCAAACATGGAGCATAAAGACAGTAACCCTCACCCAGTAACACTGCTCAGCATTTAGAAACTTAGTTTAGCTATCAGCAGTACACAACTGTTTTGGTCAACATGAATTTAACACAACTGCCTCCTTTTGCTGCCATTGTTGATTGTTTGGGTGGCAACAATTTTTCAAAAAATCTTTGGTGTGCATTCTCACACGGTTTGTGCTGCAGTTTCAGTTTTTGAATATGTTTTATTGTATGTAGTAATCTTTGTTGTTTTTGTTGTTGTTTTACTTCATTGTGCAAGGAAAACATTTGAAGTGTAGAATACAATTTCTTTAAATAAACCAAACGATGCTCTAGAAGAATCTCCTTCACATAACTCAGTGGTTGAAGAACCAGACAAGGCAAGAGAAGGGTTGTGTTGTGTTGACAGACTTTCTCAAACAGGTGTCTTGTGCTTTGTGTGAAGTTTGTTTTGTTTGGGCCTTTTTTAAAAACTCTTTTGCTTATTTCTCCATAGGGAACTGTACTTGGGGCATAAACTGCCGATTTATTCATCCTGGTGTGAATGACAAAGGAAACTACTCCCTGATTACCAAGCCAGATCCTTTCTCTTCTAACGGTGCCCCTCCTATTGGCCCTGGTCCTCACCCTTTGATGCCAGCCAACCCTTGGGTACAGTATTGTATCAGTGTTTATTGCCTGAATTTGAGGGTGCTGAAACCCTGGATAATGAGCAGAGGACATACAGGAGAAGGAGATGGCAGAGCCAGGCCATCTGGCCATGTGATAAGCATGACATGCTTTGGGGGTTCTTGCATTAGAATGTTATAGGTCTAATATTAGAAGAGCTGGGATACTCGAAGTCTTGTTCAAGCAACCCTGATTGGAGCAGAGAGAATCAAGATTGGATACGTCAGTGTTTATATAGTTTCTCTTCTGGACTAAGAATCCAGTCCACCTGAGCCATGCTGCACCTGTAGAAAACACTAGTTGCTTACAAAGTAGTAGGCAGCCTAGGAGGAAAGTGAGGCCAATCACCTAGCAGCTGATAGCTTTTCTGGAGTAAAAGATGGTTTTGTGAAAATGAGCATCACTGAAATCTCCCTGCCCTCTTTCTTAACAGGGAGGGCCCGGTGTGGATGAAATCTTCCCGCCCCCGCCTCCTGACCCTCCAACAGAAAGTGCCTGGGAACGGGGCCTCCGACACGCAAAGGAGGTAAGTTTGTTCTTCTTGCTCCTTGTGCAGAACAGGGGAAAGGAAGGACTGAGAAGTCCCTTTATTGGTGTCCTCTCTTACCAACCACCCATTCAGTGACTGAAGTTGCAACAGTGGTACTCAAGATCCATCCTCAAAATTGTTTAAGTCAACTATTTGAAAACAGCATGTTTATTTCCAGGTGCGTTGTGCATAAAGTAGCAAGATTCAGACTTGGTGGTTCTTTAAAAAGGGCCAGGTGCTCAGCCTCCTAATCTGAAAGTTCCCTGTTATTCTAAAACACAAAGCAGCCAGGGACTTCCAGATGTGCTGGCATGCTGGATGTGCCAACTCAGAAAGCTCAAACTGCCCAAAAGGAGCTGCTGATCCAGTTCTACAGAGGGATTATTGAGCCTGCCATCTGCACCTCTGTAACTGTCTGGTTTGGTTCTGCAACCCAACAAGATAGACACAGACTCCGGAGAGTAATTAGGACTGCAGGAAAAACAATGGCTACCCACCTGCCTTCAATCGAGTACCTGTATACTGCAGGAGTCAAAAAGAGGGCTGGGAAAATATGTACAGACCCCTCACATCCTGGACATAAACTGTTTCAACTCCTACCCTCAAAACGACGCTATAGAGCATTGTACACCAGAACAACTAGACACAAGGACAGTTTTTTCCCCAACACCATCACTCTGCTAAACAAATAATTCCCTCAACGCTGTCCAACTATTTACTAAGTCTCCACTACTATTACTATTAATCTTCTCACCACTCCTTATCACCCATCCCCTCCCACTTTTGACTGTATGACTGTAACTTTGTTGCTTGCATCCTTACAATCTATATTGACTGTTTCCTAGTATGATTTGATTGCTTATTGTATCCTATGACTATCATTAAGTGTTGTACCTGATGATTCTCGACTCTTGACGAATGTATCTTTTCTTTTATGTACACTGAGAGCATTTGCGCCAAGACAAATTCCTTGGGTGTCCAACCACACTTGGCCAATACAAGATTCTAATTCTAATTTGGGAATTCTGGAGTTGCTGCTCCAACACCTCTGGAGGTGTCAGGCTGGGGAGGGATGCCGGGCCCGTTTTGTCATCCCTTTGGGGAAACTACTGTTCCTGCGCACTCCCCCCTCCAGGTGCTGAAAAAGGCTACCATGAGGAAAGAACAAGAACCCGATTTTGAAGAAAAACGGTTTACAGTAACGATTGGGGAAGACGAGCGCGAATTCGACAAAGAAAATGAATTTTTACGAGACTGGAACTATCGCATCACTCGGGACGTGCGGGATTCAAGGTAAGGGCCCTGCTGGCATCTTCTCCCTCCATGCCACAGGCCGCCTCCTTTTGTGCCTTCCTCTCCAGTCCCGCTGCCACCCACCAGAGGGCGCTGTTGACCGATCAGTTAGCCGGCCCTTGCTCTGTTGTCCCATCCTGTCTTGGCTACTGCTGTTTGCCGGGCCCAACCCAGTGTGCCTACAGCCTGGCGTGTTTTTATCTTCGGCCTAGCCGTTTGTTTATTGATTCAATTTATGCTCTGCCCATCACTCTATCCAAAGCGACTTCTTGGATCCTGATGGCAGCACTGCGCGTAAGAAGCGGAATGGCTGCATGCCATCAGTCGTTGGGTTGAAAACCACCCACAGGCCTGCCTGCTTCAGGTGCCTTACGTGGAACACACTGGGCACTGCTGCAGCCCACTCCTCCTCCCCAGGTGCAGGATTTGCTCTGACTGCCCCTTGTGGTTCTTGGAGCATCTTTCAATACAGTGGCTTCCATTCAGGAAGTCAGCGGGGCCTAGTCCATCGTACTTAACCTTAAAAGAGTTAAGGCCTCCTTAGAGAAGGCTTTGTGAAGGAGGTTTAAGTGTCTCTGGCGGTTTTGAGTGGTTTGGGGTGTATGGATCATAGATCCTGTCTCATCCCAGTTTTCCTGAACACTTTACAAAGCCCCCTAGGAGAATAAAGCCAAGGAAAGTCTTTTAATGCTAGGCGTGATGGACCATTGGGCTCTTCTTCACATCCTTAGTTGCACTACATGTAAATGCAGAAGTTGGCACCAGGAATAGGAATTAGGAGATACACCTGGTGGGACCCAGAAGAAGGGCCTTCTCTGTGATGGCTCCCTCTCTGGAACCTCATTCCCCCAGAGATTAGAACGGCCCCCACTCCAGCACTCTTCTGGAAGGCGCTAAAGACCTGGTTCTGGCAGCGGGCCTGGGGAACCCAGAGCAGGATGGAACCCATTAAATGGCTTGTGTGATCTGCTGTCGCCAGGGCAGTTGGGGGGGGGTGATTTTGTTATATTGTACTATATTAATTTATTTAATTCTTTTTGTTAGTTTTTATTGTTTTAAATGCGGTTTTATATTCTGAAAGCCGCCTTGAGTTTCCATGGGCAAATAGGCAGCAATAAAAATTCAATAAAGAAAGAAAGAAAGACAAATAGCATTCTTCCTCCTCTTACTTGTGACACAGTAACAGCAAATAAATTCTGCAAAGGTACACCTTTTCTTTTAACTTGTCATTAATTCAAGACCTAGACAGGTTGACCAAACAGATTTTCAAGCTGCTCTGGCCATTGATCCTAGTCCATATTTTTGTTTTCCACTTCAGGACGTTACTCTGAATTGGCTGTCCTTCTAAAACATGCCTTTACATTTCTTGAAATATTATTGATAATCTCCCCAAATGATCCACATAGGAAATGTTCTAGGGTGGATAATGTGTCATTGCTTTATTCTTCTGGAGGGAAGTTCTCTGTTTCTAAAACTGAGGTGCAGTATCTTTCATTTTATGCTCATTTGTTTGATTCTCAAATGTTAGATTATAAAATTCTACACATTTATTGGTTTTCACTGCTTTGGACTAAAGGCTACTTCAAATAACATAGTTTTTTAAAGGTGTTCAGAAATGCCAAGTACATCTTAAGTAGTTTGGTCAGTTAGAAATTTTTCCCAGTTTGCATCATTTCACTTCCCTAAGAATCTATTTTTGAAACAATTTCAGTTTGCTTTGAGATTAACACATGACTATGGCTAATTCATTCATGAATCTGTTTTCTCCACCGGTTTCCTCAAAATTACCAGTGACACAGAAGTCAAAGAGAACATTAATTATGGGTAAGTAATCCCTCATTGCTCGTGCATTCATAACCAGGCAAATGTTACTTTCATTTTGATTCTTCAGAAATCTTAGCACAGTGTCTGTGGTTGCAGAGTTCTTTGTTTCCACCTGGCCCTTTTGTGCTGGCATGCCTGTCTGTTTGGAAGTTGCCATGTGGTGGCAACCTCTTGACAACATTTACAGCAATAGCAAGACTTCTAAATAAAGTACAAAAAATAGGTGGCATTTCCTGAAGACATCCCAAGAAGGAAGGAGAGAGAGTAGAACAGCAGTCCTGCCTTTCCCAAAACCTATTCCAAAATCCTTCCATTTGTCAGGGGCCATTTGTCGTTATTACCATGTGGTTCAGTCACTGATTATGATGAGCAGTTTTTCATAGAAAGTTATGGCCATTCTGTATCGCTATGCTGACTTCAGGAGTAATCCAGAAAGGCTTGTTTTCAAGTATTTGCTTGGGCCAATTGATGGTATAATCAAGTAACTAATGATGTGTTGAGCACCCTGCTCTTAATTCTGCTTCATTTTTCCCCAGAGAAGTGGGGTCAGAACTAATAGTATGGATAAAATGATAGAGGAATCTAACTGCACCCTTCTTAGTCTAAGTCAAGCATGAGCTACTGACCCATAAAATCTTCCCTTAACCAGGGCCTCGTCTTCCTTAAAGCGTCTTCCATTTCTGGCCCTCCACTTGTTTTTCAAAGATGAATCCCAAAAGGTTGAGGGGAGAGAGGCGCAGCTGTTGAAAAGCTAATATGATTCGCATGAATCTGGATTTTTTTTGGGGTGTGTGTGTGTGTGTGTGGCTCTTTGTGCTTGTATGAATATTGCAAAAGGGCCTCCCCTGGGAAACACGTTTCTTGCTTCCAAGTGGTGATGGCTGAATAGGACCCCGCAGCCAAGTACTGATGAGAATAACGTGGGATTTAATCTCTTCTGTTCCTTTCATTGGTCTACAGGCTCGACCCATATTCCGATCCCTACTATGATTATGAAATAGAACGCTTCTGGCGGGGAGGGCAGTATGAGAACTTCAGGGTCCAGTACACGGATCCAGACCCCTACCGCAATTACAGGCTGAGTAAGGTAAGCGCCTGCACCTGGCTGGGCTTCCTCTTTATTTCGTTCAGGCGCTTGTTTGAAGCGGCTCAAGCTTAACGTCTCATGTGGCTGTAGCAATATAGGCCATTCTCGACCTATGACTACAATTGAGCCCAAAATCCCTACACTGCTAAGCAAAATAGTCATGAAGTGAGTGTCATCCCCTTTTTATGACTTTTCTTGCCACATTCATTAAGTGAATCACTGCAGTTGTTAAGTTAGCAGCACAATTGTTAAATAAATCCAGCTTCCCCACTGACTTCGCTTGTCAGAGTCAGGGACGCCGCAGCCGTCACAACTGTGAGTCAGTTGCCAAGTGTCTGGATTTCGATCACGTGACCACAGGGAGGCTGCAGTGGTCTTAAGTGTGAAAAACAGTCATAAATCACTTTTTTCAGTGCCATTGTAACTGAACGGTCACTAAATGAATTATTGTAAGTTGAGGACTACCTGCCGTCTCTCCATCCATTAGCTAGTATTTTTTGCTTGCGTGTCTCAAATTGCTAGAGGAATTTTGAGAAACAAGAAGTGTGGCTTTTATACACATAGAGATTGGAACAAAGCTTGGTGAAGAGCAACCTGTAATTTTATTGGTTTAATGGTGGGCTTCTGGGAGTAAATATCCAGAGAATGAAGTCATTAAGTGTTGTTGAGCCAACTAAAGACTTTCCTTGCCGTGACATGATTCAAAACTTGCTGTGGGTCAAAGGTAGCCTGTAACCTGGCTTTTTCTTTCTTTCTTTCCCCAGGAAAGGGAGCGAGAGAGGGATCGGGAGAACCGGCAGCGGGAACGGGAGCGAGAGAGGGAGCGGGAACGGGAGCGGGAACGGCGGCAGAGGGAGCGTGAGCGTGAAAGGGAACGGGAGCGTGACAAGGAGCGCCAGAGGCGGAAAGAAGAGTGGGAGAGGGAGCGGGAGCGCATCAAGCGAGATGACAAGGAGCGCCCACACCGGGACCGAGATCGGGAACGGGAGAAAGAGCGTGAGAAAGAGAAGGAGAAGCCAAAGCCTCGATCCCCACCGCCAGCCAGGTATGGATTGCGTTCGATGGTCTCGTGCAGGGGACTCCAAACTCGGCAACTTTAAGACCCGTGGCCTTCCAGAATTTCCCAGCCAGCTGGAGGATTCTGGGAGTTGAAGTCCACGAGTCTTAAAGTCGCCGAGTTTGGAGACCTCTGGTCAAGGGGCATGGGCCTTTGTTCTAGCTCCTCCTCAGATCAGCTCTGGGAATGTTGAGCATAGACAGAGGTATGTGCTTGGCAGAGTTAGGACCGGGGTTAGCCCCCAAAGGCTGGAGACACACAGGCCCCTGCTTGGAGAAAATCTCTGTTGGGGAGGTTGTCTGATACCAACGCAAATTACAGAAGGATTCTGGGGGTTTGCCTGTGTCCTTGTCCTTCTTCCCAAAAATCTCCTGCTCCCCACTCCTTCCCTTCTTTTTAAGCAGTTTGAAAAATTTGTGCAGAATGTGGGCTGTTCTTGGTATCGGTGGGGTTAGAAGGTTGTTGTGGGATTCTTTTGAGAACAGATTAGAACGATGCATCCCGCAGAGTTGTCCTAGATGCAGGCTGTTCATCTAAAGAACTGTTGCTGGAATCGGCTATGTGTAGCTTAATGAAAAGAAGGAATAGGGGGGTGACATGATAGCAGACTTCCAATATCTCAGGGGTTCCCCAAAGAAGAGTGGGGGGGGGAGTCAAGCTATTCTCCAAACAGCACCTGAAGGCAGGACAAGAAGCAATGGGTGGAAACTAATCAAGGAGAGAAGCAACCTAGAACTAAGGAGGAATTTCCTGATAGTTAGAACAATTAAAGTCAGTGGAACAATTTGCCTCCAGAAGCTGTGGGTGCTCCATCACTGGAGGTTTTTAAGAAGAGACTGGGCAACCAGTTGTCTGGAATGGTATAGGGTTTCCTGCCTAAGCAGGGGGTTGGACTAGAAGACCTCCAAGGCCCCTTCCAACTCTGTTATTCGGTTATTCTGTGTGGCGTGTTTTTCTCTGTGCCCGTTGCCTCTCCAGCTTTGCGTTCTTTGCTCTTGGCAGAGCAGCGAGCCAGGCCCGAGGGCTGCCAGACCCCTCCCCTCTCATTTCTGGCATTCTTGGCCTTGAGTTGTGCCAACATCCTCAGCGGCTTGGCTTGGGATGGGTGTAAGCATGCCAGGAGAGTGCATTGTGTGCCAACCTCTGCTTCACTCTGAAGTATGAATGGATGTGAATAATCAGGTGAAGCCATGGTGATGTAAGATTGAAATGTACACCAATTGCTAAAGGTCCAATTTCCTGGGCTGCCGAGCCTTTCCCCCTTGGAGAGTAAACCACGTTGTGCTTCCTCTGAGATTTATCCCACTCTGAGTTTTCCACGAAGACCCCAGGTGGGCCTCTGTCATTCGGTTTGATTTCCCGGTGAGGGAGATGACATTGGAGAGGATTTGAGAAAAAGAACTTGATTGGTTTTTGCCGTTCCTGAGGTTACTCTGTGCTTTTAATGTTTTTGAATAATTACTACACAACAGTACTAATGGTTTTCTGCATATACTGTTTCATGGGATTGCTGTACACTGCCCAGAGTCACTTTCCATGAGATGGGAGGCCGTATAAAGAGGCCGTATGAATTAATTAAGTTAACTTAAAAATAAATACAGCCTTCATCTTCCAGAAATTGGCTCAAATGTTACATGCCTTTAATTCTGGAGAGTCATGCTTAAATCCTCTACCAATTTTCTTGGTAGGAAGTTCTATTGAATATAGTTTGACTTATTTTTGAATAAAGATTCATACAAAGAATCATTCAATAAACCTCCTGCATTTTATGATTTTTTTCTCCCCCAAAACAAGAGAAAAGTCACAAGGAAAGTGGCTCTTTCCTTTTGCAACCCCAGCAGATACCATCAGTTTAACTGCAAATCTTCCTACCAGGCTGGTGTTTGAACAACTGGGAAGTAGATTTTATTTTTGTCTTTCAGGAATGCTTATTTTTATTATGCCACGTTTAATCAGTTGCAAATCTTTTTACTCAATAATTGTTGCTTTATTACCCCTAGTCAAGGCCACATGTTTCTGTGTTTGCCATAAGCTGGTGTCTAATTATAGTTCTTAATTTGGTGTTCTAATCAGAAAACAATCTAGAGACTTGTTTAGTGTGTATGTCGTCTTTGTACTTAACTAGCCGGCTTCTTCCTTGGAATAGAAGTGACTTCACGTTAATTGAGTTTATTTATAGACTGCTGTGCTTTCCCTAATCATTAAACCTTGGCTCAGCTCTTGGCAACTTTGTCCTCTTGCGTAGTTTGGGATTGATGCTACCCAAAGAGTCACGTGACTTGATGGAGATTCCAGCATGCCTATTATGTAAGACTGACTCCAGTTCTGTCATCTGCCGTAAGACAGATTTCCTCAAGTTTGAAAACCTGTACGAGAAGAAGAAGAAGAAGGTACTTTAGCAAGGACTTTTTTAAAAGGGGGGGATTTGAAACCAAGGTCTTTGTTGGGAAGAACGAAAAGGAGGAGGTCATGTTTTGGCTGAGAGGTGTCCAAACGGAGGGACCAGGAACCGTTTAGGAGTAATTCAGTAACTGAGAACTTGCTCTGCAGATAAGAGATTCCCTGCCCTTCATTTCCACTAGAAGGAGCTTCAGGGGATCACGCCGGAAAAGGCTCCAGGTTTATCTCTCGTAGGGCTGTTCCTTGTCAAGGTACAGAGAGTCCTCAACTTGCCACTACAGCGGAGCCGCAGATTTGGGTTGCTAAGCGGGACGGTTGTTTAAGTGACCCGTTCTGGCCCATTGTACGACCTTCGTGGCCACGATTTCAAGGGAATCCCTGCAGTTGTTAAGTGAATCACACAGTTGTAAAGTGAACCTGGCCTCCGCACTGACTTCACTTGTCAGAAGGTCGCAGAAAGGGGATCACGTCACACACACACACACACACACACACACACACACGGGACATACTGCAACCGGCATAAGTACATGCCAGTGGCTAAGCCTCTGAATTTTGATCCGGCGACCCCGGGGACGCTGCGACGGTCGTCAGTGTGAAAAAGGATCTTAAGTCCCTTTTTTTCAGTGCTGTTGTAACTTCAGTCACTAAACAAACGGTTGTAAGTTGAGAACTACACCTGCAGTTGGCTTTGGGCTCAGGGCAGAAGTGGCAAATTTGGAGGCCCCTGTCCCGTGCAGCTTTGCTTCCTTCAGGAGCTCCTCGCACCCGGCCGTCCTCTTCGATGCTCCTTGTTTATTGCTGTGATTCCTTGGCAGTTGCATCCTCAGTTGCTCCAGGGCGGAGGTGGGGTGGGGGAGAACCGGGGCCCTGCTGTGGGCTTCGGCTCCCAGAATTCCTGGGGCAGGCATGCTCAGCCACGCTGCCTCAGGAATTCTGGGAGTTGAAGTCCACAAGTCACAACAGGGCCCTGGTCCCTCCACCTCTGCTCCAGGGAGTGGAGGGAACGCAGTGCCTCTTCACCCCACCCGCCAAGGGTGTAAATTGGGCTGAGAGTTCACGGGTGGTTCAGCCCCACCCCAAAAGGAACTTCCTGTCTGAGTGGAAATTGGACTCTCCCATTGCTCCATCCTCCAAGCCTCCTTGCTGGCACGGGGGCGGGCGGGGGCTGGCGCTGGCGCAGATTTTCCATTGTGCGGAGCTGCCAAAGCCTTGCTTCAAATCCCCGGTCGATGACGAAACCCCCGGACTCTTCCTGCCCCTGGTAGGGGTGGTTGGGTGAAGCTCATGCCTGATGATGCCCTGCAAACCACCCCGGGTGGCTTGGCAGAAAGTGGTGAGACATGCGAGGGTTTTCCTTGCTGCTCCGTCACTTGTATCTGGTTGTGAAAACTGAAGCTGAGGCAAGAATCCGGGCCAGGAAATTCAGGTGAGGCGGCCTGGCAGTTGCAGCTGGCCAAGGGCTGTGTGTGAGCTCACCGTGATCCCATCGAAATGGATTCCAAAGAATCCTTCCTTTCTCTGTGGCCACCAGAGGGGAAGGAAGGGAAGCGGAAAGGGCAGGAACGGCAGAGGTACCCAGCCGCCAATGGGAAGGCTGCCAAAGGAAGCAATTTAGGCTAAAATGAGGGTTTTTTTAAAAAAAAAAAAATCACGAAAATCCGCTTGTTTTATTACCGGTTGTTCTTTCCTGGTCTGATTTTTTTGGAAGATAATCTCTGCTAATTGAAGGATTTTGCCCAAGTGCATACAAAGACCTTTGAGAGAGAGAAAAAACCCTGCCCAGTGGCCAGTTTCCCCCCCCCCCCCCTTAATTATACCTGTTACGTTTTGTTTCGTGAAGGAGCATACTCAAAAGGGCAGCTGACTCACAGGATTCGGTTTTGTGTAGACATTTGTCAATTTTGGACTTTCTAGAGACAAATTAACTGCCTTCTTCAACCAAATCAGATTGCGGCTAGTCCTCAGCCCACAACTACAATTGGGCCCAAAATTCCTGTTGCTAAACGAGATGCTTGCTAAGGGAGCGCTGCCCCATTTAACGGCCTTTCTTCCCAAAGTTGTTCACGTGAATCCCTGCCGTTGTTAAGTTAGTCACACGGTTGTTAAGTGAATCTGGCTTCCCCATCACTTATCAGAAGGTCGCAGAAGGGGATCACTGACCCCAGGACACTGCAGACGGTCATAAATACGGGTCAGTTGCCAAGCCTCCGAATTTTGATCCCGTGACCCTGGGGACGCTGCTGCGGTCATAAGTGTGAAAAACCGGCCCAAAGCCTCTTTTTTTCAGTGCTGTTGTAACACTAAGCGAACTGTTGTAAGGCGAGGCGTGCCTGTGTGCCAATCAAATCCCAGCTCTGCCACTTGATGGCATTACCAGGCATTCAGAGGTACCAAAATATTTTTTTCCCCACTGTCGTTCAATACTCCGTTTGAATGTTGAGGTCAGTGGCCTTACCACCTGCCATTAAGATTGAACAAAGAAGCGCTGCAGGTGTGTTGCTTCTTTTCTTGTAGGCAAATTTGGTAAAATTTACCATCTGTGGGCTTAAACGGCGAGCTTTTTTAAGTATCCCTGCCAAAAAAAAAAGGAGCTAACGTTGCGTAACGATGTCTCCCTCTGTAACTTGCCTGGCTCTTAGTCAGAAGGTGGCATCTGAAAGCTGATTTATTTGTCCTGTTCTGGGTGATTGGAGAGTTCATAGATGCCGGTTGATGATAATACTGTGTAGTATGACTTATCTGTAAGAAATTCCATGTGGATTTAAATTCCACTAGAGATTAAAGAAGAAAGGGGTGGGTGGGGGGCTTCCTTCTCCTCCCCCCACCTGGTCCCTCTCCGTCCCTCCTATCTTAAATGTACAGGGCCACCCTCTCATCCAAGCGGCTTCTTAATTTGTGGTGAGGGCTGGTGCTTCCTCGTGTTTCTGCGCTCCCTGAAGAGTTAAGACTGGTCCCAGGCCGAGCTTGGCAAGTGGGAAAGTGTCAGGCTCCCTGCCGGAAGGGAGTGTCCCTGCCCAGGTCACGCAACTGGAATGACACAGTTGTGTTTTGCACCCAGAAAGAGTCACAACCTTGGGAGAGGGTTTAGCAAGAACGGGTGCCTGCGCTCTGTGCATTCCTCGGCTGTCATGAGGTCCCCTCTGGATTAGTAATCTGCTGGTGGATGCTGGTCCTACTTTCTTTCCTGAGTTATGCTAAGAAATATCCCTGGCCCACAGGAACTATCACACGAACAAGAGCCTCTTTCCTCATCCACAAGGACGTGTAGAGGGTTCTCTCTCTCTCTCTCTTTTTAAAATAGATTTTTATTGAAAATTAAATTTTAAAAACATTTGAACGTGGTGATCTTTTAACATATATCAACAGTCT